CCAAGATCATTTGGGGCAAGAAGGTGTAAACTCGTGTCCCTTTCGGCCCTTCTTTTCTCCCCAATGCCATGATTATCAATTACATGTGAATTTTAAGTTTCTAGTGTTGGTGGAACATATGATATCTTAGGTGTTGGAGAAATAGGGCATAGGGTTTTATTTCAAAGACCACCAAGATAAATTCCTGGTGTCAACCAAAGGAATTCTTAGTATTGGCCTACAATTTCAAAATTTTGTATGCCAAATATTGGATGCTGTTTTGTTGGAGAAGATGTGATGGACTTTACGGTAAGAATACTTTAAGCTTATTCAAGACTCCCCTTATACAGAGGAGAGATAATACATAAAAAATTATGTAGGAGGAACCCAAATTGAAGTCTAAGACATGGCTCAAATTAAACATCAATTTATCCCCTCTTCTATGCTCCAGCCTGGAGAATATAGGCTTTAACCCCCAATTCCGTCCTGCAGAGGAAGCTGTACTGGCTGAACATAGAGAGCAGGTGGCGCCAAAGTCAATCTTACCAGGCTTCCCTTTAAACGTGGCTTTCCAGGACAGGGAAGGGCATTTGCCTGCACATTTAGATATTATCTAAGAGAGATCTTAGAAGATTGTTTTTCTCCTTTGCTTAACAATTGTTTTGTATTCGAGTTTTTGTTTTATTTTCAGTCACTCGGTCAGTCCTTAATAGTTTTTTTTTTTTAAGATTTATTTATTTATTTATTTGAGAGAGCGAGAATGAGAGATGGACAGAGAGAGCACATGAAAGGGGGGAGGGTCAGAGGGAGAAGCAGACTCCCTCCTGAGCAGGGAGCCTGATGTGGGACTCGATCCCGGGACTCCAGGATCATGACCTGAGCCGAAAGCAGTCGCTTAACCGACTGAGCTACCCAGGCGCCCCGTCCTTAATAGTTCTAAGAAGAATTAAAACTTAAACTTAACTGGTCTTTCTTCTTTTCTTGCATGGCTCAACTACGTACAGGAATAAAAATTATTATTGACTTTGATTCCTTAGTGGCTGAAAGGAATGCCTGAGGATCCCTGAAGCTGTGATTAATGTTTTGTTTTGTTTTAAGAATGATTATTTTGAATAAATCTAGTCCTAAATCTAGGAATGAGTCCTAAGTACTCAGGAGAAGCAACAGAAATGCATTGGCTAGATTGGAATGAATCACAAAGTGTCTCCAAGTACATGCTCTCTAAAGCAGGTGTTGGAAAATCACGTTGTACTTTCTTTTGAGATTTTACTGAAAGACAATCAATTGTCTGTGCTGCGCATCTTGCATCAAATTCTTGTAGAGACTTGCCGAAAATTCTCATATCCCACAATTTCAGGATGCTTTATCAACCTTGTCCTTAATCACAGATTCCCTTGTAAAAGCATTATTGTGGCAAAGTGCAATCCAGCATTCACCTTGATACAGAGTCTCACTTATCATCCTGTGCTGAGGTTGAGAACCTTGACCTGGTATGTTGAGTCAAGATTCTCAATCTTGCTACAGCTGAATTTTGCCCCTTCGGGTCAAACTTTAAAAAGCCTTGACCCAATTCACAAGCTGATGCCTTTGATTCAGGGGTATTTCATGTCTTCCTGTAATCCAAGCTTCTATAGTTAATAGCAATGATGATGATGCTACCATTTTTTGAATGTTTACTAGATACCACACATATAAGTGTGCACACACACACATAAACACATATAGAATGTGGCTAAATGCCAAGATATGATTTTTGTCTGTTGTATGAAAAACTTGTAGCAATTTTTGAATTGTGGTTCTATTTGCCCATCTATTCTTAAGGCTAATTTATGTTTACAGACTCTTGCTTTCATTATATCTGTCAGTATATAAAAGCACTTGCTGAGCCTGGCCATCTGGTGTGGGAAATAAGATTTATCATTTGCATTTCCACAAATAAGCAGAAATTTCATAACTATGAACTAAAACATAATTAATGATTTTGCTGATTATTCTTCCCTGAAATAGCCATTAACTGAAGTAGTCTCCTATGCAGTCATATATATCTATAATTGCATACACACTTGTGATGATGCTCCAACTATCATTCATTTACCCTTGCATTTTTTTCAAGCTATTTATTTACTCTCAAAACCAATTATGAAAAGAGCAAGTCATATAAGCACATCAAATAGCTATATGAGAGCACTTAATAAATAATAATTGATAGAAGTGAAGATATCCTTAACAGATCCATGAAATGCATTTCAAATATATAATAATAATTCTACTAAGGATAAAATTAAGATTATTAGCAGAGTCATACTGGGATTCCCGACACATATCATAGGCTAGCATGTGAAAATAACAGTTAATTCTCAATTGTATCTATTAAAAGGCCAATAATATGTGTGTACATATATCATATTTGTATATATGAGTATGCATATAATATATACTTCTCTTTCTATCTGCGAATATATGTGTGTACATACATTAGCAAGAATGTTATATGTGAACATATTTATTTAGGTTCCTATATGTATATATTGTATTTTTCAATGATGGAATTTTTGCTTTCTCAAATACTTACTGCCCTTCAAATAAAATGATAAGACTAGGCTTTTTAGACTTCCCCAGGTACCACTCAACTCCAGGATGTCTGAAAGATAATCTAGCCTGTCCCAGCACTAAAAGGGAGGTTAAGGACATAGGCAAAATTAGACTTTTTCTAAAAACGTTCTGTTTCACACTATCCCTAGGGCAAAACAAAAATCATTTTTGCTTGGTCCTGTGAGGCCTCAATTTGTGTGTAGTCTTTCTCTGTTTTGGAAGCTGTCCTGACCCACTAATCCAAGTAAATGCCATTTAAAGCATATAGAGGAATTAAAATGATAGGGAAATGCATTAGCGTCTGGCCAGAAGCCCTGGGGAGTTGCCACTGAGAGAACTTAAAGGTCACAAAGGCCAAAAAGGATGGTGGTGAAGGGTGTGGAGGGTGGGCTTTGAAAGGCATGGAGCTGAGACTCTGAACACCTGTATTCTAGTGCTCAGTCGACAATTCCCATCAGGTGCTTTATGCAGGATACATGATCTTCTTGAACCTAAATTCCTCATGAAAGGCATGAACCCGAAGGTAGTGGAAGTGTCTTTTATTAATAAAATCCTATAGCCATTCAGAAACTTAAAGAATTGACTGATTGAATATTTAAATTGTTTACTCTGTATCTCCGTAGCTTTCCAGATAATAAAGCTCATTTTCTACCATTTCAAAGTTGGCATATATTCATATTTTTAGAGTAAATAATATTTTTAATATTCTCAAGAAGACATTCTAGTAAAACATATTCTATTGAAAATTGTTTTCAAAGAAAATGGTTGCCTCCATGTCGTGTTTTGTTCATTCTGGCTATTGTTTTAAACGTACCGAAAATTCATTTGCTGAACGTTTCACTCCTTCACCGTGGAACTTCACTGCATAGTGGTGACAGGCAAAGACTGGAGCCAGCCACCTGGGCCAAAACCCCAGCTCCTCTGCATACTAGCTGTGTAGATGTATGCATTGCCTCTTACTATCTCAGTGTAAAATAGGGTTCATTATAATACCCGTCTCATAGGATGGTTATATGCTTACATGCATAAAGCATCTGTGACAGTACCTTCTAGTAAGTGCTGTGTAAGTGTCGATTTTATTTGGGTGTTGTTGCCATTATTTATATAAAACACAGATTAGGAGGACATTCTTGAATTCAACATTTTCCCTGTTATTTGACCTCTGATCTGATATGTTCGTAGACACTTTTGGAAACATTCGCCTACCAGAGGACGCTTCCATTGCACATGCAAACCATCATAGGTTTAAACACACACTCGCACACACACACGCACACACACTCACATGCACATTCGTTGACACACATTGATCAGCATATGTGCCCTCCAAACTGCAAAGTGACCCATAATTAGTCACATTGATTTCTCTTTCGAACATCATTGTCTAAGCATACAGTCTTAAATCTAAAAATCTTTGTTGTGAAAAATACTAACATTTTCTTCTTGTAATGGATCTATATGAACAGAACTATACAGAAGGAGAAAATGGAGCAAGCAAAGCATAGGAGACAAGCTCTTGGGGCCTGCACTTTCTGCCCCAATTCTCTCCTTTCTGTCAACACACATATGCCTTCTCCACTTCCTTCTCCATTCCAATCTCCCTCTTAGATCCACACCCACACGCCCCAGATTGTGTCCGTGTTGGGAAAACTAAGGTGGCAGTGGGAAACATAGAGGCTGCCACTCCCGGGGGAGTTCCGGGCAAGTTCCAGCCTCAGTCCTGCTTCTGGTCTGGACCTGCCTCCTAACCTCCCTGGGTTTGGTTGTCCTCGTTGTTGTTGTTCCTGCTGCCTTTGCTTTTGATCTTTAAAGTTGTCACATGAAGAGTTGGGACCAGATGATCCCCTCCTGCCTCTTAAGACTCTACAAGGAGTTGACTTATTTTCTACCTTGCAGCTCAGGGGCCATTCAGTCATAAGTGTTCCTTGGAAGCAATTCCCCTTCCCATTAACAAATAAATAATTACCACTTCCCCTGAGAAATGAGAGTTTCAGACTGGTCCCATGTTTTATTGATGGAGACACTGTGATGAATCAGCTAGAGGAGCCCGTGTCTGGCTGCTGAAGGACCCTCACCAATGCTTGGAATCTTAACAAGGGCTGGTATCACAGTGCTATGCAGAGCAGAGCGTGGGAGAGGAGGCTGGGTGAAGAGGACCCCGCTGCACCAGCAGACACATCAGTGATAGCCTTCTCCAAGAGCATTTTATATTCTGAAGTGTTCGACCACTGATACCCCTTGAGATACTTACAACTCAAGGAGAAGGACTTAGGAAAGATGGGGAGTGCTTCTTGGGCTGTACATAAGCGCACTGACTTTGAAGTGCTGGTACCTGGCCCATTCTTACCTCTGATACTGTCAGCTGTCAGCTATAACAGAGAGTGAGGCTGGATGTAACTATTCTCTTTTCTTTCTCTTTTGCATTGCAGGGCCTGGGTCGGTGAGAGGAATAAATGGATCCATCAGTCTGGCCGTACCACTGTGGCTGCTGGCAGCATCTCTGCTCTGCCTTCTCAGCAAATGTTAATAGAATAAAAATTTAAAAATAATTTAAAAAACACACAAAAATGCGTCACACAGGATACAGAGAGAGAGAGACAGAGAGAGCGAGATGGGGGGAGACTGTTTATTTTACAACTTTGTGTGTTTATAAATGAAGGGGGAAATAAGAAAACCAAGAAGAAAATACACTTAAAACCATTTTAAAGTCCATCAATAAAAACTTAACTATAAATCAGGGTGGGAAAAGTTCTACAAGGATATGTGTATATCGAAGCAAATATATACTATATAAAGACTACATCATGCTAAGGACACCCGGATGTTGTAAAAATAAGACAAGTGAAGAAGTGTCAGATGGATATTAACCCCCACATACACACTTTATCCTTCCTTCATTCTTTTTCATCTGTGGGGAAAGAAAAAATAAGGTCTTGCCTTTGGTGTTTATATTTCCATCATCTTTTAATTTTGTTCTTCATTTGAGCTGACTCATAGCCATTTCAGACTATCAGTGGAATCCGCGCTGGAATCCTGTGTTGAGCCTTTACCTGGCTTTCCTGCCTCCACTATCTCTCCAACTTTTAAGACCATCTCCTCCCCCTCCAGTGTGTTCTATCTCCCCCACATCCATCCCAGAGACTCCCTTTATACCCCCCATCCCCATAGCTGTTGCTTCTCCTCACCCCCTACCACACCCCCCAGCACTAGTCATGCCGCAAACTCTAGGAAGTGCCATTTTAATTTTCTCCACTGTGCGTGCGTGCTCAAGTCTCTCGCTCTCACGTGGGTGTACATGTGTGTGAGCGTGTGTGTGTCTCTCTCTAAAGCATGCCAAGGGAATGGTCCATGTGTACATAGACTCATTGTGCTGTAGATACTGTCCCGCATTGTAATTGTGAGATGCGGCTGTGACAAGTTGCTGTGGGACATGGTGGGGAAGGAGGCATGGAGCAGAGTCCCCCAACCTCCCCCATGGCTGTCGCATGACATCAGTGTGTACCCACACCAAGCTGTGCCCCTTCTAAGGGCAGAACCTCATATTCCTCCTAGTCCAATCATCAGAACCCAGTCGAGAGTCACTCAGAATATCACTGTAAATGAAAGTGCCTACTATTGATGGGGTGAGCAAACAGTAGAAAGAATCAGTGACGTCAATGAGGTGACCTAGGAGAGAAGGTTTCTGACTTCACTCTTGTTTCATGAGTCTGAGGAATTCATGTATTTCCTGGCTTTTTGCAGGCTTGGACCTGCTCTGCTGCAGGAGTGAGTAGCATGTGTTGAGTAAATCCCAAGAACCAGGAAGGTCTCCAAGTGTTAACTCTCAATGAAAGGATGATGAGCCACATGGAGATCCTAAGCAGCCCTGTTGTGCCCCTTCCCTGATCTTCAAGTAACACTGCATTTGGCCCATGGATTCCCTTGAGCAGAGATTGTTTCCTATTTCAGATAAAATATAGTGAGAGTGAGCAAAGCAGGAAAAGTAGACCAGATGTGCAGGACCCTACTCGTTTTGTAGAGATGTTGGCAGAGCTCTATACAAAGCATTGACCATAACAAGAAGGAATCCATTCCTTGTGCTCCTTTGCAGATTTTTGTCCTGGTGTTGTAAGCTAATACTCTATTTGGTGGCCTGCACAATCTCCTTTTTTGCTCCACTGGCAATGTTTGCAGCACCATTGTTCGCAGTAGTCCATCATTATCCTAGGCCAGGCCGCTGGAATATATTCCACCTTCCCTGCTCACTTTTGGCTTCTGGTTCCTGAAAAAGATACTGTGGGGGATATGATGTCTAAGTTTACATCAACAAGAGTCATCTGAAATGTGAGTTAGTTCCTTAATCAAAAGAACTGGGAAACTTGTAATAATTTAGGTCGAAGTTGTACACACACCAACAAAGCTTGGTATCACCGCAACACCAGGATTTTCTTAGGAAAGGTCTTGCAGAGAGAGCTGGCTCTCTGTCTGTAGATGTCTTTGTCAGGAAACCAACCATTGCTTTCACTTGAACTATAGGAGGCATTGGAAGTAACTCAGTTTATGAAAAGACAGAGGATTATTATTGAGGTCACAATTGAATGTATTTCAGAAGAGCCAAATATGGTACCTCCTTTAGTTTTGGAACCTGAAAAATAGTGTCACAGAATATAAAACAGGAAATTTCCTAACTGCAAATAGAAAAAGGAAGGAAGAGAAGAAGCGAGGGAAAAAGTGGAAAAGAGGGAAGGTAGGGAAGAAGGAAGGAAGGGAGGGAGGGAGGGAAGAAGAGAAGACAGACCTAAAATTTCTACTGATAGATTTCATTAATTGCAGTCTCTTTGCAATGAGCCTTGTCTTTGAAGGTAATGATCTCTTTGATAAGCAACATTTTAAATCTGTTCTAGGGGATTCTATTGTTTGTTTTAGAAAACTTATTACCAGCCTTCTTTTGTGATTGCAGTTTAGACATGAAACTGAAGGGCAAATTGGGCTTAGGGATGGATAAGAGTATTTGTGGCAGATCCTCGCATAGTACAGAAATTCTTATCCCAGAAAGTAGCTACTAAAATATAGGGAAGGTGAGCCATATTCCTATCCAGCATCAGTTTATTGACAATCGGGGTTTCTCTAACATTTTGGTCTTAGTACAGGAATAAAAGTTTATCATCATTGATGATAAATATTCCCCACATATTGAAGAGCCAGTTACATCCTTAGGTGGAAGCTTTAGAGGAATGCATGCTAATTTAAAGATATATAAGAAAAGAAAAGTAGGAGGAGTTAATTTGGTTTAGTATCAGTTTCAGGAACAGATCCTTGTGGCATGTGACATATTTTAATCATACTCCTACATTCGTATTGTCTCCACCCTATCATAATGACAAGGTCTTGATTTTATAGGAGATTCTCCACAGAAAGGAATGTCTGCCTTGTCAGCACCATTTGTTCCCTGAGTTTTAATATAATGGACCATATATTAAACATAATTAAACATATATTGAATATTGTGGTGTTTGCATATATCTCTGGCAGGATCTGGGAATTAAAAAAAAAAAAAAATTTGTCCTGGCTCCTGTTTCAGAGCAAACATTGGCCCCAGAAATCTCCTAGGTTTGAGAATGTCTCTAAGCAATGTGAAGAATGGAGGAGAACATAATTTGGAGAAAGGTCAGGAAAAAGGTAGCAGCCGGAGGACTGACACCAAGAAATTGAGTCTGAACATGGGACTTCTTGGAATTTAGTTCATCATATTGCTATAAATCCCTTCAAGAATCTTGTCCATTGGTAATCAAAACTTGAAACCCTGCACTGAAAAGAACAAACTGGTTGGAAGTAATACCCTGAGAGGAGTGAAATTCATCAATTAATCTGAATGGCTAATATATTTAATGTCCTCTGTATGCAAAACGAAACTCCACCACTCATAAAACAAAATCCTTAGAACCGACCTTCAGTTAACAAAAGCAGAAATGACCTTGACCAAGGGCACTTCCTGAAGAATGAGAACTATCCTAGGTTTTACAACTGCAGAATTATATCTTCTGTGCAATTAACTGTTCATCAGAAGGTGTTGCCTTGTTGGAGGAACAATCTTACTTGTTTTGAGACATAATATCCCTCTGCCCTGAAAGAACTAAGGCTTAGGGAAAAATTGTGTTTTCTGTTGGGGAAGAATTGTCCTATTGACCTTTGCCTTCTCTTCCAAGTCAGACAGACTTCTCCCTTGCCATGGGCATTTTTTTACTACATATTCAGTCAACTGGGGCTATTCATAGAGACCTTGTAAAAGTACTCGTGATTTTCATGTTCTTGGAGACAGAAACACAAATCTGTTTCTCCTCCAAAAATGGACTTACCTCCTTTGCACACAAAAACTAAACTCCTCAGCATGAAATTATTTCTGAGTTATTACCTACCAAGTTGTTAGCTTCTTAACTACTCCAGAGTCACAGTTTCCATCCCCAGGTTGGTTGTGGTTTGACTGTTTCTATTGGCTTGTCTCCCAGAATCTCTCCTTTTGCTTTTTGCAGGCCTTGAATTATTTGTGGAAAAATAATATATATGTGTATGTATTTTTTTTAATCTTATCTTTACAGATGCTATATTTACAATATTGTATGTATTATAAGACAAATCTAGAATAATGGTTAAAAGGAAGAAAAAATACTGAATTTGGTTAAAAAAAAGAGCTATGCTTCATTTAGAAAGATACGGAGCCCCATTTTTTCCACTTCGTAATTACTTGTTTAAGAGGAATTTTTTGTGGACCAAGTTCCATGGGATTAGCCATGGCCTTATTTTTCTCTTCATCTTCATTAACTTTTTAGCCTGAATTTAGTCTTGGTTACCGGTAACTCTCATGTTTTTTATAGAAATATAAGTGCAGTGCTATATCTGACCTATAAAAACTATTAATATTTTGAAGACAAATGTTAAACATACCACAAAAATGGTGAGATTGGACCCTAAATTAAGAAACTCAAATTCAGTTCAGGAAGCCTTCTTCTTTCTTCCGTACTTAAAATATTTCTCTTCCAAAGACTACATTTGCCCCACTGATGTAAATTTTCCATCATGTTTGGCATAATATCTGTAAACATCTCACTAAATGCAAAATGGAGTTTACATTTATGTGCATACTAGTGGAAGAGAAGTAAACTATTTTCATTTGCATGTAGCTGTGTTGTCAAATGCGGCCAACTGAAATTCAAGAGAGAATTTGTTTTCACCCAGCAATGTACATCACTTTCCTCTTGGCAAGGAAGCTGGTGTTAACGTTAGGTTTAGGTTTAACATTTACACCAGTGCAAATGTTTATGGATATTATGGAAAACTTATTTTAAAATCTTGATTTCCTTTCAGTGCATTTACATACTGTGTGCTGATTAATAAATTAGGCACCAATCATGTGTAAATCAATGTAAATCACTAGTTTATGTACATAATATAAACTATGTAAACTTCATTTTTCATGCAGTGCCCAGGTTCAGCTAATTCTATGAATCTTAAAGAAAAAAAAATCAAATAAAAACTAAAGCATTTCACAGATCAGAATGGGAAGGAGTATGACTAATGTCCCAAACAAGAAGGTTGCCTCAGCAAAAGC